CCTTGATAAAACACAGTGGACCAACACCAGCAGCTGACATGGCACCCCAGACCATCATTGACTGACATCTCTTCTTGTTGTGCAGCGTTTTCTGCCACACTTTTTCCTTCCCATAGAGTGCTGTATCAAGGCACCTCAGTGGGAAGTCTGTCGACCCCAACTTTGGGAACGACTGTTTTAAACAATCAGAATCAGAAACACTTTATTGCCATTGTCAGTAAGTTACAGYCTAAGGAAAAAACCAAAGGAAAAAAACCAAAATGACACATCTAATTATAACTCTTCCACAACAACCTGTTGAAGTGATGGTTCACAAACTAAAATGCTTGACTTTTCCCTGCAGGTTGGTTCAGTTGAGCTGACGATGGTGAATGTTCATCTGTGTAGCGCAGCATCAGTGGGAGAGGTCTTCAGTCCAGATGAAGCCAGATGTCAGCGACTTCCCTCCAGCATCCTGGAAACACTTAAAGGTCAGTCTGTCAGGTGAATGTAGGAAAATGAAGGTTTTCTTTCTGAGTGTTTGTGGCCAACTGATCAGACATTTTGTTTTTCATGCAGACAACAGACCAGCTTCATTTATAAAGCAGCCATACAGCCAAAGTGTGGACAGTTGTAAAACTGTTTTCTAGGCCACGCACATTATTTGGTTGTCCACCTCCACCCACTGTGTACCTGAGGTGTGAACAGAATCAGTCATTTCTCCTCCTGAACTCTGAGCTGTGCCACCTGCTTCGGATATTATCATCCATTAAATGGACTTTATTAGCCGTTATCAGTCCCATAGAATGGCTTTAGACTGTCGGCTGGTTAGTATGAGGCATAAAGCCACTAGGGTTAATTTTAGAGAAAATTACATGGGCTACGATAAAGTAGATCGGACTCCGGCGGTAGCAGAATGTTGCATTCCAACGTATATGGCACTGGTAACACACTAGGGGGCACTGTCGGCACAGTCTGAAGCCATTCTATGGGACTGATAACTGCTAATAATGTCCATTTAATGGATGATAACATCCGAACCGGCTGGCTGTGCTTTGGTCTGTTTTCAGTTTCACAAAACAATTTGGGAGAGCTCACAGACAGAGTAAAAATAGGTTAAGGTCAATCATATGTTAAAGCAGGGCTATTCAACTGGCGGGCCCTGGGCTGGAAGTGACCAAAGTTCGACCCGCCAATTGGTTCATTCAACTATTAAGCTCAAAGCTTTCTGCTTTAATTACTCTAAGATCTTTTAAAGTGTTAAAAGTAGACATGTTTGGGATCTACAGAAACATCAGAATCTTGGCTACAAGCTGGTAAAAACATTTCTATGCACACTAAAGACAGTTAAAATTACAAGCAGTTGAAGATAAAACTATGAAAGCGAAAATAAAATTGGTTTAAAAATTTGGCAAGTCAGAGATGTTAAAATAATATTTGTGGTAAATAGGAGGCATAATGTGTTATTTTTGTTTTTGATATTGTTTAATTATCATTACTTTTATAGAGTTCTGTATGTTGTACTCATGATTAAATACAACAAAATAAACTATTTCAAAGGTAACAGATCTTTGTAATTTTTGGTTTATTTACATAATGATTTTGACTGCTGGATGTTCGGCCCCTCAGCTATTGACCTGCAATAACTGTGGCCTCGGAGCAGTTTAGTTGAATAGCCCTGAGTTAAAGGATAACAAAGATGAACTAGACTAGTTCCTGGAGAAACTATGAGAAGTCTTTCCATGTTCTGTCCAATTAAAATAAAGATTTGAATTCACTGTTTGTTGGAGATCACTGTGAACTACTACCTTCCCAAATTTGAGCCAAATATATGTCTTAAAATGGCTAAGTTATGGTCAATTTTACATTTTAGCTATGGAGGCCATCTTGGATTTTTGATTTGGCTTCAGTAGGTGATGGAAAACCTTCTTAGCTACCAACATACCAAATGTTAGCTAAAATTGTTTTAAAATGGCAGTTATTTCAGTATCAAATTACCTCTGGTGGTCATTTAGAATTTTATTTAGCCTTCACAATTTGCCAAAGCTTGTTTTTGTTCCTCTTTCCCTGTTTGTGTTGGTATCATTGGGGCCCTGATTCACACCTTTTGCTCACAGGGGGCGGAGTCATACTTGCAATAACGGCGTTGTTGGAGGACAACTGGACACGAAGGCCTCCACCTCTGTTTAATGGTGGATAGTTTTTCTTCACAAAGATGACTTCCTTTACTCCTCTCTCTGTTCATCCCAAAGATCCAGTTCCTAGGCAAAAACAGAGTAATATAGTGTATGCTGTTAAGTGTCAGGTGGACTGTGATCAGTCATACATTGGGGAAACAAAACAGCCACTGT